AGTGGTTTTCTCAGGTCCTTTCCTGCTTCAAATCTATGAATCTATGATCTATTTATCCGAAGGTTTTCTCTTATTACTGGATTAATGAATTCTATTCCATAAATGCTATCAACACCAAGGTCTCCTTGTTTTTAATAGGTACATGATGAATAAATTCTTGCAGTTAGACAGGGCTTATCATGCCAAAGAGGAAGAATCGGGGGGGAGAAGAGGGAACTGGGGGCCAGTCTTCAGAGCCATAATGGACAGGGGCTAGGATGATGATATGAAGGATTCATTTCCTCCCTACTGAGAGAGCTGGATTGTCCACTGGGACCTTTTCCCTTCTGGTCTCCCTTTCCCCAACTGTATTTTGGTCCAGGTGAAAATATTCCTAGTTTGATTCTGTTTATCTAAGGTCTCAAAGTCAAACCCAAGCCTGCTTTTCCAGCCTCCAGTCTGAAGTTCCATCTGTTACTTGATGGCCCTCATGATACCATGTCTTACTTCTCCTCCTCCTTCACCTCTTCTTTTCGCCTTTGTGGTAGAAGCAATTTCTGCTAGCATCCCCACCACATAGGCTAGACTAGTTTTTTTCCCTTAAAAAGCAGGGAAGCTGCATTCCAGGACTGACTGGTCCAACCCATCAAGAGCCAGGGCCTCACAGGCCTGAGGCATACCTTACTGCCATCTGAATTATCATCCCATAATTCTGTATGGAGGTGGTAGTCTATTTGAACCAGTGCTATCTCCTCATTGAGAATCCTTTCCATGTTATTTTAAAAACATATATAGTTTTAATTATTTAGCCAAATATTTCTAGTGTTAATTAAATTTCTTTTTAAGTGTTGGGATGGTATACCAGTGTTCTATTTCATTCCAATCCTGGTCCTGAATCAATGTCCCAGCATGAATTGAGCCTGACTCCTGGGTAACCTTCAGTCTCTTTGGTTATGGTTCCCTTTCTTGCCTAAAACACAGACCTCAGGACTTCATTCATTTTTTTTTTAACCTGCCCTATCTGCACCACATCTCCCTCTGTGGGCTCTAGTGTCCTCAACCCAATCTCTGTGCTTTTTTTATGACAGCAGTCCTATCCACAGCCTAGGAGACTCCCAATTCCTACTCTACCCTCGCCAAGACACCGGCAGTGGCTTCCCAGGCTGGGTGAGTCTTTTAGTAGCTTATTTGTTGCTATGGAGAAGAACGCTGATGAATAAGGGCAGGTACGCAGCCCAACTGTCAACAAATATTACTCCTAAAAGAGGGCTGGTGTCATGTAGCTCTTATAATTTGCAGTTTCTTGGCTCTAACCTTTTGCATTCATAAATGCAGAAAGACTGTAGCTGATGAGCTCATATCAACATGAGAATAGTGGCGACATGGCAATGGACAGAAAAACAGTCAAGGGACAAAAAGACCCACGCGCAAATCAAAGAACCTGCAGACAAGGAGGAAATGTGAGGTTACCCTGTCCACCCCACTGACTTCAAGAAAACAGCAACTGCTGGAAGATGGTGGTCCGCCATATTCTGGGTTTCTTTTCCCCCTTCTAATGCTCTTCGTATAATAATAATTATAGCTAATATTTATACAGCATCAACTACGTTCCAGGCACCGCGTTAAGCATTTCATAATTATCTCATTTGATCCTCAGAGCAAAACCAGCTAGGAAGGTGCTACTAATGAATCCGATTTTACAGATGAGGAAACTGAGGCAGAGAGTAGTTAAGCAAGCCTTGCCCAGGGTCATACTAGCTATAAGGGTCAGATCTTCCTGACTCCAGGTCCAGCGGCTCTATCCGCTGTACCAACTAGCTGTCCCTGGTTTCTATTACAGACTTAATAATCAAGAAAAACAAATAATCAAACACCCAAAATATTGGGTAAAATCTTAAAGAAAACCCTTAACATTTAACAAGGTAGAATCAATAAATTAGCTGATAACAAACAAGCAAAGACTTCTGTTCCTGTGTCCTCTTCCACATCCATTGGAAGGACTACTACCTCTGGCTGTGTCTGCCCCACCCCTCCCTTAATATGGAAGCATATAGCACTCAGGCTTGAGCTGTGTTATTTAAATAAACATGTATATATATATATATATATATATATATATATATACATACACACACACACACACGCACACACACACATACATATGTATACACACATAAATACACATGTATACACACATATGTGTGTGTGGATGGATGAGTGTATGTATGTGTGTGTGTGTATACACACACATATATGTATATAAAAAATTAATGTTTTAACAGTGTCTTTGGTCTGGTATTTAAACTCTGTTTACTGCCTAGAATCAGGGATGTTGTTTTGTTCTCCCCCAAAGAGATCAGAGGCCTTGAATAGAGGGAACATCCCTTTGTTAACCAAAGGATGTGTCCCTCAGTTTATCACGAACCAGAGTAAGAGAGATGACCTGAACCTGATGGAAAGAAGGGATGCTTTATTTTTCAAGTTTTTTTTTTCTTCAAGGGTGCACCTCTGATATTTTTATTACTATTTTGGTCAATCAAAAAATGTCTTCATCTTACTTTGCCATTATTGAATCTTGTCCTTTGCTTCATGATTACTATAAAATTTAAGTTGGAAGCTGCTTGGGCAGGGAGGGAATTCTGATTAGCAGAATGAACTCTGCCAGTCTCTGAACCTATCTCCCAGAAGAAATGCTAGTGCTTTAATAAATTGTCCTTGGCAGTTTCTGGCTAACACACAGTGGAGAGAATTTTTCTTCCACATAAATAGAGTTGTAGTCCACGTGTACATATCTCTGTTCAATACTTTGTTTAGGTCTTTCCATGATTTCTTAAACATTTCACACTTAGAATTTTGCACGGGGTAATTATGTTCTGTTATATTAATGTATTTTCCACTCTGGGGACATGTTAGTTTATAGGAACATAGGTTCAGACCTGGAAGGGGCCTCCAAGTTCACTGGCTCCAACCCTCTCATTTTACAGATGAGGAAACTGAGGCGCAGACAGGTTAAATGACTTGCCTAGGGTCACATAGCTACTAGGTGTCTGAGGTAGGATTTGAATTTAGGTTTTCCTGACTCTAAGCCCAGTACTCTTGCTATTACAAATAGAACAGAGAGGAGTATTTTTGTATAAATGGGCTATTTTCCCTTTTTTAAAATAAAGTTTTAGCAATGAGACCTCAGGTCAAAAGGCACAAACAAAAAGTTTTAACCATCTACATCCCACCAGCAATGCACAGACTCACCAACATTAGATTTTATATGCTCTTTTTGGCATTTTAATGTGGTTTTAAAAAAAGTTTTATTGATGACTTTTTGCCTCTCCCCTTCCCCTATAAACCTGCCTTATAAAAAGAAAAACAACTAAAGCAAAAACTTCTGATATAGAGACCTTGTCCATTAGCGTATAGGGGGTAGGGAGCTGATAAAGGGACCTTTGAATTTATTAAATTTCCTATGCTTACTTGATGAAATTTTAAAATGTAAGTGGTAGGCAAAGAGTTTTAAACTCTTAAAGAAAGTGTAAAGATGTGTTTACATTTTACTATACCTTTAGAACAGGGGGTTCTCAACCTTTTTTTTTTTTGTATTATAGACTTCTTACTGGCAGTCTGATGAAGCCTATTTTCCTTCCTGGAATAATGTTGCACACACTCTCTGAAGAATAAGTTGAGATGGCAAGCTCCGAGGAACACTTCAGACAGAGTTCCACAAGGTAAGGGACAGCATTTCTTTCTCTTCCCCATCCGCCCATGGTAATATCTGGTGGAGATGTTACTTCTGTCTAGTGAATTGGCCAGGATTAACTCTGGGAGATGAGACAGTTAGTCCTGGCAGAAGGGTGTTGAGATTCAGGGAGAAGGCCAGCTGGGTTACTTGCACAGCAGAAACATATTCCCAGAAGAGAGCAGTGTCAGTCTAACATTACACTGGGACCCCTATAGCAATGAAGGTGAGATTTGTATTGGATACATGTGTTCCCCTAAGTGTGTGCCTCTCCACTAGTCTGGTAGGTGCTCCAGGTATTCGTAGGAAAATAAGCCCTAGGTGTATGGAAAGAATGTTTTGTAATTATTTTTCATGCTGTGCCATTTCAGTAAATATCTTTGTTTTGAGCTAACTGTGTCAACTAACCTACTACTGAAAGAAAAGCCATCTGTGGGGGCTCACAAACTTCTGGGAGGGCAGATCCACAGAGCACCTTAAATCTGGGGTAACTGCCCTCTGATGCACTCAAACCTATAAATTCAAGTTGGGATTTGTAGCCAAAGAGGGGGTACCACTTATACAATATTCTGGTTACCTCTCTGCCATAAAGGAGGAGGCATGTTTCGTTCATTTATTCTCTAGGACTTCTACTACTAAGTTCAACTCCTTTTTGTAATTTTTACTATGGTTCTAAAAAAGCTTCCAAAGAAATATCACCAGGCTGGGTTAAGTGGAATGTAGGGGCGGTACAAGCCATCACTACTGATAAAAAAAGGATAAGCTATCCCAGAGTGAGAGATGCCCCTAATAGGCCCCAAAAGGTATAAATACTTTACTTATACATCTTAGGTTTATACTCTTAGCTGCCTGAGGAATGACCCTGATGAGAGAGCTCCTTCCTGAGTTATGATGTCTAACCATCCATGTCAGGCTTTATTACTTCAATATTTCAAGGATCTGAGATTTGGTTGGTGAAGGTGCTCCCACCACTAATGCATATGACAACCCCCTCAGTGCTGTAAAAGACTGTCTTGCTAAGGTTATGTGGCTGAAAAAAGAAATCATTTACCTGGTGGCCAGCCAGGTAAGAAACCTTTTTATACTTAAACTGGTCCTCAGATGACAAATTCACAGTCTATAACTGGGCACATAACTATAGCTTTTCCTGCAACGGCAGGATGTTCTGGAGCAAACAGGAGTATTGAATACCCGAGAGGTTATTTTAACTTTTTAAAAAATGTATCTTTGGAGAGCTACCCTCAGCGCACCAGACAACCTACTCCTCAAACCATCACATAAAAACACCAACCTGTGGGGGTCATCAGGATCACAGTTAGGAAGAAATTGTGTGATTGCTTCAGCCACTTCTTCGTTCACTAAAACATCCCAGAGTCCATCTGTGGCTAAAATCAGCACGTCATCTGCACCATGCTCATACTTCGTGAGATCATAGACTCTCACCTGCAATCATAAGCAGAGACAGGATTATGATGTAGAACATGCTGGGACCCTTTGACCTTGATTCCATCATCTCGTGACCTCTGAAACCCTCTCTGCTTATATGGTTTTGCTCTCCCAAAGACTTCCTTCACACTTATACTCTCTCCTGTTTGGCAGAATAGCTTTAAGAGACTCTACTGGATTAAGTGAAAACTTTAGAGGGCTAAGCTGGTGCAAATAAATCAGTGTAAATGACTTAAGCCAATGAACTGTGCCCAACATTTGCTTTCATTTTACTTTTTACCAGGACTGAACGAGAGTGTGTGCTTGATAAATATTATCTGACACTCAACTCAAATGGATTTGTGATCTTATCACTGTGGGTACTCCCTACAGATTACAACCCATCCATGCCTGCCCTTCCTCTGGAACTCTTGCAACCCATTACTGGCTAACAAAGAAAGCAATTTTACAATGTGATGCCTGAGACTTTACAAGGAAAACAGTACACTTCGCCAAACTGAAGGAGTTCTCTCAAAAGCCTGAAGCACAGTGTTGGACACACAGTGGGTGCTCAATAGTGTAGTGAGAATAAATGTTACTCTGCCGTAACTGACTCCATTGTGTATCAGGCCACCATTTTGAGATGAAGTACTTTGATGTTTTCTTTTTCGTAATAGTTTTTTTCAATATTAAGTTGATAAGCATATGTGTGGTATAGGTTGATAAACAACATATGCGTGCATATAAACAACATATGGGACCCCCAAGACAGGACAGACCACCAATGGGAAAATTTGATAAACAATTTTAGTTTATGTGATTAGCTTCTATCATCAGACATAAATCAAATTAACTGGTAAACAAATTAGGCCACTGGTCACCAACCAGAACTTGGGAGTAACTAGCTAACACTGGTAGCTAAAAATATAAGAAACTCACCAGAGACCCTACAGCCTTCAGCCTGACCTTAGATTGAGACCCACAGCAGCTCCTGTGTTCCCTCCACTTAAGACTCAAGCATTCTCCATGTTCACTTGAGGGTGGTACTCATTAGCTGACTTCAATTTGCTGACTTGTCAAGCAACCACCTTGAAGGGACACACATGGCCTATGCCTGGGATGAAAGGGAGTCTTGCCATTAAGTACCAAGATGAGACACATATACTGGGAAGCCTGAGGAAACTGGGTTTGTGGCTTGATCCTAGTAAGATTAATGATTGTATTGTCCAACAGAGATAATATAAACTGTTTGCACATATTTGATTAATAAAGTTTGCTAGCATTGGGAAGCATAAATCTAATTTTCTACTGCACTACTCAGTATAAATAATGGTAAACTGATTTTGTGTATGCATCTTCTGTTACAAGTAAGTACATGGCTTCAACAAACATTTATTCAGCGCTTACTATTTGCAGGGTGCTAGGTACCTGGGGCACAAAGATTTAAAAACAAAACAAAACATAACATGGCAAAAGTCTGTTTCTTCAAGGAGCTTATTCTGTGTCAGGAATGGGGAGGGGCAAGGTTAACCAGAATATTTACTTATTCAGGACCATTCTTCTACAACCATATTAGAGAAAACGAAAGATGGAAGTAGCACAAGCTAATGGCTAGAGACAAATACTGACACTGCCAGAATATGCCAGATATACTACCTCAAGGAAGTTACTAAACCTTCCTGGGCCTCAGCTTCCTCATCTAAGAAAAATGGGGCTAACAATACCCGTGTGATCTACCCTACAAGGTTTATTGGGAGTTCAAAGGAAACAAGACATAAAAAGCACTTGGCAAACTTTGATAGGCACACTCATGCATTTTTGGTGGAGCTGTGAACTGGTCCAACCTCTATGGAAAGCAATTTGGAATTATGTGAAGAAAGTGACTAAAATATCCATATCCTTAGATCCAGGGACAACAATGCTAGGTCTATACCCTAAGGATGGGGGTGGGGACCCCATCCTTGTATATACCAAAATACTTACCGTAGCACTTTTTAGAGAAGCAAAGAATTGGTAACGAAGTAGATGCCCATTGTTTGGCAAATGGCTAAACAAACTGAGGTATATGAATGTAACAGAATATTACTTTGCTGTAAGAAATGACTATAGAAAAGCACTAGATGACTTACATGACTTGATTTATAATGAAGTAAGCACAGGTGGGGAAAAGAACACACATAATGAGCAAAACAAAGTAAATGGAACGAACAATAAAATACAGGTAGAATTCTGTGAAATTATGAACAAATTTGACTCCAAAGAAGTAGTATGAGAAAAACATACCCTACCTCATCCAGTGCCCCCCATTCCCCACTCCCCACTCCTCTGTGTTTTCAGAGCAGAGGGCCTGCGGATGTGGAACACTGCAAACACTGGCCTTTTTTTGATGTGCTGGTTGGATTTGCTGAACTGGGCTTTTTTTTTTTTTAAATAATTTGTCATTTTAACACTTTGGCATAAGGGCTGGTTCTGTGTAAAGAGGAAGGGATAGGGTGAAAAATGTAAAAACAAAAGCTACATATAAAAAATTATTAATAAGAAAGCCCCCTTCATGTTCCAGCCCATCGTAGCCTCCTTACTGGAGAGAAAAGTGTTACTTATAAACGGCTCAAGAAAAATTCTTAAGGAAAGATCAAACCTGACTTTTTTTTTTTAAACAGATACTCTTGAAAGCAGGACTGCCATGAAAATGTAAAGGTTTAAACTCTGGACAGCCAGTTGTGTCTTATGAACAAAAGTACTGACCTAAGCAAAAGAGAAGTCCATTCCTCTGCCCTGGCTTTGGCTTCTGACCTTCTGGACTTTGCCATCATGCCGCAGCGCTGTTTTACCCTGTATCCTCCCTCAGCATCCTGAGGTTCCTCAGCCCGAAACATTCTTCCATCATGCAGGCTCCCGTCTCCCACTGATATGTTCTCTGAGCTGCCGCCCCTCCTTTTGTGTTTCCCCCATCGGCATGCAAGGTCCTTGAAGGTAGGGACTGTCTTTTGCTTGTATTTCTATTCCAAATGCTTAAAGCACAGTGCCTGACACCTAGTAAGTACTTAATTTGTTGCCCGTCAATAATCATTTATTAAGTGTCTGTTAGTGTTAGGTGCTATGCTAGGCAATGGGATTCAACCAATTAACAAGAATTTATTAAGCACCTACTGGGTGCCGTACCCAGCACAGAAGGTATGGATATAAAACCCGAAATAGTCACTGTCCTTAATGAGCTTACATTCAAATGGGGTGGGGTGACGGGGAGGAAGGGAGAGAAATTAATAATTAAATACAAAATGTGTAAAAAGAGAATAAAGGGTTATTTCTGGCATGAGATGAACAATAAGAAGAGAAGGGGAGTAGAGCTCAGGAAAGGCTTGATGTAGCAGGCTGTAACTGGAAATAAAGTCACAGTCCTTATATTTACGAAAATGCAGGAACTCCATCCTTCACTCCCCTAGAAAGACTTCTCTATTTGCATTCTATTTTAGAAGCAGGTATCCCACTTCTGACTGGCTTTTAATGGGCTCTGAAGAATCCATGTTGAAGGTGTTGTTTAACCCTCATTCTCAAAGAGGACCAATGACATCATGAGGGTAATGTCTCGGCTTGCAAGTGAACTGGATTTAAGTGAGGCAGGACCGTGCAAAGGTCATCAGCCTCACTGTCTCCTCCAGAGTCATCGGAGTCCAAGGACATAGGTCAGGATGACTGATGATGGCCCAGCCCATGTTGAAGTATACAGAGAATTAAGGTTCTAAACCAATGTCATTGGGAACTTAATGTGGGATACTCAGTTGGGTATGATACATGGTGGGGATTTCCTTCATGTACGGAGTGGCCTACCCTGCCACTGAATTATCTTCCAACTCTCCAGACAGCATTACCCAAATATCACAACCCTATTTTCAAGCCAAGTGTTTGGTGGTATAAGTAGAGATATTGTTAAATTCATAAACTTTCCCAACAAATACTCTTTGGTTCCTATGACTGCATACCTGCAGCAAGTTTCTTCGATGCTCTGAGTACTGCAGGATGGAAAACTTAATTGTTAAATAAGCCCTCTGATCGACGAAGCATTGAAGTGGCCAATTTCATTGCTACAGTTCAACAGGAGAGGCCCTCTTATGCCTCTGAATCTCTATCTGGGTTACTAAGGGCACCTGAATTTAACATTATCAAAGTACCCCAATAATGAAGAGGCCAGAGTTTAATTCCAAGCTGTCTTTGGAGAGAAGAAATGTGAAGTCCTGAGCTGCCACTGGCTCTCGTAGCCACTAATAAAACTGAGGTCTGGCCACTAAAGAAATAGCAGGGGGCCTACATTCTCAGGCTCCAGAGAGGTCAGCTTCTCAGGCTAAATCTTTGGACAAATTAAATCCTTTCCCTAATTGCATTGTCCTTTTTGCCACGTGGGTCCTATCGAGTGTCCCTTCATTGGCCAAATAGTAAAAGATTCTCTCACTACAATCCTCCAAGTAATTTATATGTAAATAATAAAAAGCTGGTCCCAACCCTATTCCCCTAGGCACATCCCAATTAACCTCCTTTTAGCTTTTTACGGTTACCCTTTGTTTCCTATCCTTTAGCCAATTTCCAGAGGACTTTGCCAACTTTCCTCTAATTCCACAACTTGGGCTTGTATATTACCTATGAGGCAGAACATTTTTGTCCAGCGCTTTTTTGAGAAAACAGACTATTCTCTAAGACAGCCCTCTGTATCACATCTTTCTCTTTCATTTTATTTTTCAATTAAAAAGCATTTTTTTCTCCCTTCCATCCCACCTCCTCATCAATTTAAAAGAATTGAAAAAAAAACCCAAACAACTAAATCCACATAACAAATATGTAGAGTCAAGCCAGACAAATTCCATAGTGTCCATGGTTATAAATATCTCATTCTGTATCACCTCTCTCTCAGATGAGCAAAGAATCCCAGGAGTAGCAGCATCCCCCCCCCCACCTGTCTCACTTCACCACTTCTCATTCCCTCCACCAACTGTCAAACACTCACAGTGTAAGTCAACCTAGCTAAA